CTTTTCCCCCCCTTTTCCCTTCCCCCCCTTTTCCTTCACTTTCTGGAGGTCTCTGTTTGCCGATTTTCGGTGCAGAAGTTCCCTTCTTTCAAACGAGGTTGTTTTTCTTTATGGGTTAGCTTTTGGGGACGGGCTGAGCTGTGCTGTGCCGCGCCGTGTGTCTTGCAGAATGAGTCTGCCTTGGACCTCAGTGCCTCAGTGCACGCATTCGCTAGGGCAGATGTTTTACACTGCTCCAATGCCTGGAAATCCCGGGTGAGTTTTTAATAGATTCTGTTACCAGCTGTATTTGGAGCTGAGCAACGTTCCCCAGCGTACTCTGTTGTTCTGCCGATGTTTAGCACTAGTAATGCTGCGCCTGCTTGCGTAGCTTGTGTAATAGATATTCTTATCTCAGCACCTCCTGCTCCACGAGTTCAACAAAATTCAGGACGAATCTATAAATTACAGCTGAACAACTTAATGAGTTTTGCTGGAATCCCTGCTGGCTAGCTGAACAGTGGTCCAGCGCGTCAGAAGCACTGCCTTTCTGGGAAACTGTGACACCTTTATTGAGAAAAAGGTGGTAGTTTCAGATGCTCGTGCGGGATCTTGAGCCCCCTCAATCAGATGTCTTCTGAGACTTGGTTGCTGTGTGAAATTTTTGCAGGCCACTGTGAAGTTAGATCAGGCCTGCTCAGAGCAGATGCAGGTATGTATTATGAAGCCATTGCTAGTAAAGGCTAGCCAGAGACAGAGCAGGAATAGGTTCGGAAGAAGGAAAGACACTATTTAGTAAGAGCTGCCTAATTTACATCTTCCCTAGTGGACAGGGAAGCATATTGAAAGGAGGGACCAGGAAAGGAGAATTGAGTAGTAAAAGAACATAGGTTTGTGGTAAACTTAAGGCATAAAGAGAGCATAAGAAAGACACAGGAAAGATCCTGAACCACAGAGGAGTTTACCTTGATGACAGAAATGCAAGGAGCTTTTCCGCTTAATTGGAAGGGAAAATAAGGAGCCAATGAAATATTGAAAGAATAGTGTCATTGAACAACAGAAAGGAACACAATTCTAGCAAGAGGGATATGGGAATTCTGATTTTCATTTGCCGAATAAACATTTCTGTGAAATTAACACCTCTGTCCTGTGCCTTTACTCCCTCTTTACACGTTCTTGGATTGAGCACGTCTGGTGTTTCACATTCTTGAATTTCCTTGATATTTCGTTGAAAGCTAACTGTATGGGGCAGGATTTTTATGGTGCCAGGGCTCGTCTAATGTCCCTTCCTGTGTTTTGGGGTAATTTGGAGTTTGCATTGGACTGCAAATGAGCGTGCCCCATTAGCAGCAGTTCTGAGGCTGCAGTCTGGGAGATGATCCAGACAACGAAACATTTTAAGAAGCACTGATGAAATGTTGTGGAAGGGGACAGTTGCATGTGCGTTTTTTGCTGATAAGAAATGGGAATGTGCATTTGCCTCTGTAGTTATTTAACAATAGGCTAGCTGAGCTTGTTTTGTCTCAGTCAGTTTAAGCTGACGGTGCAGAGTGTGTACTGCATGCTGCCACTGTTGCTCCAACAGCAGGCTTTAACACAGTATTGCTGACATTAATGGCTCTGGCAGTGCTTTGCTTTATCTTCTCAGAGAACCACAAAAGTTGGAAAGAACTGACAGCTCTGCATGAGAGAGGCTAATCTTTCTGTGCCAGCTCTGCCCTCCTATGAAATAGCAAGTGAGAAAAGTTAGAGTTCTTTCTGTAGTTGGTCTCTTACTTGGAAAATTATTTTTCCAGCAGAGAGAGAGAGCAGGTTTGCTGTTTCTTGTGGGAAAAGTATGATCCAGTTCAATTTAAAAAACTTTTCTTGGCACATTAGTGAAGGCACGAGCGCTGCGGGAGCACATGTTAGGTATCCCAGGGCAGGCAGGTTTTGCAGTAGGAATGAGTCTGTTTGCTTGCCATTCTCTCATAACCATGTTGCTCATTTCTGATTCATTGATAGTCTGATGTGTAGCAACGCTTATCTCAGTTCTTCTCAACCTTTAAAAAAAGCTATCCCTTACTGGGCAGTAGAGGCAAATACAACAATTGTAACCCTGAAAAATATCCCTGCCAAGGCTGCACTTGTCTAATCTCTCAGATACTATGGACAAGAGTGATCACAATGCATTTTGGAGGAACTGCTCTCCACGAGCTCAGACAGGAAGAAAAGGCTGTAGCAGCTCCGCTCTCCCCACCTGTCTGCCAGCTTGGGCAGTACAGTGTATGTGTGTGTCACACAGTGCTGCCATACACCACCCTATCTTTGTTCAGCTTAGGAATATGTTTCCCATTACAAACTTTCCCCCAGGTTTGTTTTGGTCTCTTGCATTGTAGACCCTCTGTTCGTGGAGCAGTAAGGGTCAGACTTCTCTTGGGCATTTGAAAAAAGTTGGCGAGGAAATGTATTAACGGCTGTTAGAATCAAAGAAAGACAGAAAGTTCACTGACCTTTTTAAACAAACACCTACCCTTTTGAATACAAAAGAACTGTTCTTAGATAACGCTCTTGTACAAAGGCAAACAAATATAACCAGCTAAAAATCCTCCTCTCCAATCCCACAGCTAAGTAGCTGAACAGTTTTTCCAGCTGCGTACTGCAAAGTAAAAAGCTGGGCTGTACTGCTGCAGGCCAAATTCAGCTCTACAAAAACGCATAATAATTCTAGGATTTCCTTTTTTCCTGATTACAGCACAGTTTGCTGAAAAGCAGGAAGGTGTTTTATAAATCTAAGTTTATCTCAGAATGACTGGCTGGAAGTTTATTTTCACACTGAAAATGTGTATACTGTGCTGAGGAGGAGGTGCATGTTTGTTTTAGAGCTGTAAAAGGCAAAAATGTCTAAATAAATGACATTAGTATTTCAGCTGACATATTTAAGAAAGAACTAGAATACTATCCAAGGGGAACTGGGGTAGTGTTTATAATCTAAAATATAGCCATATAATAGTTTTGATTTCTTTTTTTCCCTTTATATATTTTAAAGAGGCAAGAGGTGGTGGAAATTCAGTAGCAGTCAAA